AAAAGTGGGTTTTTTTGCCTGAAAACTAACGCTGACGGCACTATCGAGCACTTCAAGGCACGCTGGGTGGTACGCGGGTACGACCAGCGCCACAACATTGATTTTGATCAAACCTTCGCTCCCGTCAGCCGTCACACCTCTGTCAATATTCTACTCGCCATTGTCGCCGCTAAGCACTTACCACTATGGCAGATCGACGTCAAGAACGCGTTTTTGTACGCGCTGGTGGATGCAACTATCTTCGTGGAGCAGCCAGATACCTACGGGCAAGGAGACCCCAGGGTCAGTCAGCTGAAGAAATCCCTCTACGGGATAAAGCAAGCGCCGCGTCTCTGGCAGCAGCACCTGCACAAAATCCTCCTAGAAATGGCTTCATGCAGCTGCCGCACGACCCGGGAATGTACCGCCTTCATTTCAACGGCGATTACATCCTCCTGACTGTCTACGTCGACGACGTGCTATACACCGACACCTGCAACAAGCTCCTTAATCAGTTCGAGGAGAACCTCGCACTTCGCGTTGATATCACCATCAACCACAGCGTCACGCAGTTTCTGGGCCTGAACATCACCTACGTGCCAGAAGCAATTCACCTGTCAGCCTCCAAGTACGCTGAGCAGCTGGAAGAACGTTTCAACATCTCACCCGCACCACTGTCAACTCCTTATTGCAACCCCAGTGCCAACTACAAACCGGACAACAAACCTCTGTCGCCCGCAGGACTCCAAATGTACCAACAGAACCTGGGGTGCCTGCTGTTCGCCTCTGTCACATGCTGACCCAACCTTTCGTACATCACCAGCCAACTGGCACAGTACTCTCGCAAGCCAATAGCTGAGAACCAGCTGGACCTGGAGCGAACCCTGCAGTACTTCATTTCCACACATGACATCGGGCTATCCTACTCGACGCTAACGACAACCTCCTTCGACCTCAACGGCTATGTGGACGCGGATCATGGCGTTGATCCTGCAAATCGACGGTCCTGAACCGGCTTTGTCGTCCGCCTGGAACCAACAGGATCAATCTCTTGGAACTTGCAGAAGCAGGAGCCGGTTGCCCTGTCATCGGCCGAAGCATAATATATCGCCGCAACAGCAGCAGTTCGCGAAGGTCTGTACTTGCAGGAGTTGTTGTAGGAAGCGAAAATTCCAACTTCGCCCACCTTTCGCCTCCACTGTGATAACTAGAGCGCCATCAAGATTGCGAACAAGCCAGGGTTCGTGAATCGCACGAAGCACATCGCGCTTCGGTACTTTTTCGTCAAGGACGAAATTGACCAGGGCAAGGTTGACCTCACGTACTGCCCCACCACCGTGATGGCAGCCAACTTCCTCACCAAGCGACTGCCACGTCAGCAGTACAAACACTGCTCCGTCCTCATCGGAGTGTCAAATTAGGCTCATAACTCACTGCTTAGTTACCTGGGGTTTTGGCTAGGAAACGTGAGTATGGAGAGGAAGGTTTGGCAAAAGAGGATGATTCATTAGAAAGGAAGGTACAAGTAGGAGAAAGGGTAGGCAAGATGGTGCACCACCAACAATAACAGTAACACTACACAGTAGCTACACTAGCAGGCAGTTATAAGAAATTTACCATTTCTAGCACACCCCCTAACTGCCTGTAGTGGGAGCCACGTGCAGAGACACCAGATCAGAGTAGCACAGTAGGTGTACGGTGGCAGAGGCAACGGTGGCAGGTGCGGCGGAGGTAGGTAGACTTCACTGTTAGAAACCAAAGGCAAGTTAGAAATGAGAAAGAGAGGTTTCACTAGCAAGCAGTTGAGTACATATAGCAAACCCTAAATTGGGCTGTACTCACTATTGAGTACCCCACTGCAGGCTAGACAAAACATAACATTCTGACACACCCCCATAGCCAAAGTGGGGTGTAATCAGCACAACAAGCAAAGCAAAAACAAGCTCAGGGTGGATCACAAAGTCACCACACATTCTGAGCACAAGTACAAGAAGTAGCAGTTTATAGTTCACAAGTATAAGCAAAGCTAGAGGCAGTCACAGATGGTAAGTGAGGAGGAGGAGGGACTATGAGAGGAGAAGAGATAGGAGACAACAGGTGAAGCTGCAGACACACGGGCAACAGGAGCGGCGCGCACTGTGGCTACCGGAGATTGTAGCCTCCGGACTACTGGAGTAACTGGCTCCGCGACTAACTCTGAGCTGCAGGAGCAACGGACCCACGGGCGACTGGCGCAGCAGGCTCGCTGGGCTACCGGAGATTGTAGCCTCTGGACTACTGGCGCTGCTGGCGACACGACAGCTGCCTCCGCCCAACATCCTCTAACTGTCTCACCCCCCTTTCACACACCCCCTGCTACACCTCTAGCACTACTCATACTCCACCCCCTAGCACCACTCCATCGGCTCCCACACACCCACCCCCCTCAGCGGCAGCTGCAGCAGTGGGGAGACGGAGGAGGAGGAGGAGTAGGGGAGACCACTCACATTCGTCACCCCCACACTCGCCACCCCCAAACCCCAACACAGGGCAGGGCAGCAGCAGGGGCGGCAGTTGGGCAGGGCCGCGACGAAGACGGGAGGGGCGACGCCCCCCGCCCCCCCCCCCGGGCGCCGCGACGGGCGACGGGAAAAGGCGGGGGGGCAGGGTCGAGGCAGGTCCGGGACAGGGCCGGGACAGGGTCGGGGCCGGGGCAGGTCGGGGACGGGGCCGCAACGGGGCTAGGGAAGGGTCGGGTCCGAGGCCGGGACAGGGTCGGGGCCGGGACAGGTCCGGGACGGGGCCGCGACGGGGCCGAGGCAGGGCCGGGACAGGGTCGGGGCCGGGGCAGGTCCGGGACGGGGCAGGGCCGGGACGACGACGGGAGGGGCCGACGCGCGGCCCCCCTTCAGTCGCCCCTCCCGTCGCCCGTCGCGGCGCCCGGGGGGGGGGGGGGGCGCGCGGGCCCCCGTTGGCGCCGCGACGGGCGACGAGTGGGGGGCCGCGCACGAGCCCCCCGGGCGACGAAACCGCCGTGCGCGCCGGGGCGCGCGACGGGCAGGGCACCGCCGCGCGCCACGGGGCGCACGACGGGCAGAGAAGGGCGTCGCGCGGCCCCTAGGGCGGCGCGACGGTCAGAAAACCGCCGCGCGACTCGAGCGCGCGGCGGGAAGAAAAAGGGCCGCGCGCCATGGGCGCGCGGCAGAGCGAACGACAGTGCGCGCCCGAGGCGCGCGATAGGCAGTATAGCAGCGGAAGACAATGGTGGGCCCATGCACAGGATCGACCCAGGAGGGTCGACCTGCTCTGATACCATGTTAGAAACCAAAGGCAAGTTAGAAATGAGAAAGAGAGGTTTCACTAGCAAGCAGTTGAGTACATATAGCAAACCCTAAATTGGGCTGTACTCACTATTGAGTACCCCACTGCAGGCTAGACAAAACATAACATTCTGACATTCACTCCCGCCACCCCCTCACCCTCCTCCCCCACTGCAGTAGGTGTGGCAGTAGGAGGCGGCTGCTGCTGAAACACGTCCGCCACCCCCTCACCCTCCCCCCATAGCAGCAGGCGCAGCCGTGAGAGGGGAGGAAGCGTGGCGGCAGCTGCTGCTGCTGAAACACATCCGCCACCCCCTCCCCCCCCCAAACTGCTGCACGCGCAGCAGGGAGATGGAGGAGAAGAGGGGGGGGGGGGGGGGGGGGGGGGGGGGGGGGGGTATGAGCTGCGCGTGCGACTGCAGGGCGAGCGGGCAGGCAGAAACCGTCGCGCGCTCGAGGAGTGCGACAGGCAGAAACCGACGCGCGCTCGGGGCGTGCGACGGGCAGGAACCGACGCGCAGCTGGGGCGCGCATCGGGCAGAAACCGATGCGCAGCCGGGGCGGGCATCGGGCAGGCACACGACGGGCAGGAACCGACGCGCAGCCGGGGCACGCATCGGGCAGAAACCGACGCGCGCCCGGGGCGCGCGTCGGGCAGGAACCGACGCTCGCCCTGGGCGTGCAACGGGCAGCTTGACGGACTGCGCCATAGCGGAAGCTAATGGTGGGCCCAAAGATGAAGGCTCTAGGAACGAGCTTGCTCTGAATACCATGTCAAATTAGGCTCATAACTCACTGCTTAGTTACCTAGGGTTTTGGCTAGGAAACGTGAGTATGGAGAGGAATGTTTGGCAAAAGAGGATGATTGATTAGAAAGGAAGGTACAAGTAGGAGAAAGGGTGGGCAAGATGGTGCACCACCAACAATAACAGTAACACTACATAGTAGCTACACTAGCAGACAGTTATAAGAAATTTACCATTTCTAACACGGAGTAGTCAAGCGAGTCAGTCAGCCCCTTGCGCGCCCATGAATGAAGGGGAGTGTTACGATATGAAACTTTATGAGAAGGCATTCCTGTATGCTGCAGGGGCCGACTCTACCGAGTACGAAGCTGAGGAGTCAGAAGAGTCGAAGCGACGCTCGTAACCGTCTGACCAAAACCGATGCAGGCAGAAACATTTGAAGTGAAGAGAGCGGGAACAGGTTTGAAACGGATTCCCGCGCCGCACGTACATGGCTGGTCTAGGTCGTTTCGTATTCTTTTGTATTTCCTATATAAACTTGACGTATGCATGCTATTATCAATCTCAGTCATTTACATTCACTCTGACCTGAGGTCAACACTTCCGCTGCAACACTACCCTGCGATCAACCCTGAGCGATCCTTCGCTAAGTCCCACTTGGGATTGTAACACCTCTAAATAATCATTTTATGATTCAATACCACAAAGGATCACCAACTCTCACCATCATAAAGCTCGTCCAAACTATCAAAAACATTTGATGATGGGCTCATGGAGTGCAAAAGTTCCACCAATTCCTTGCAGGACTGCTGTCCTGAGCTTCCAATTGAATCCGTCGATCCACAAGTCGCCAGAAAAACATGCTGGGCAAATTCACCAACTTCCACTGGCACCTTGCAATAATCTTGGAAGCATTTTGAAGGTCCACAAAAAGGGCGCGCGGCAACTTGAATTGCCCCGCACGCGTCTTCACAAATCACAAGCTGCTGCTGGCTTGCAGTGGTACACCTTTCGTCCACCGCATCAGCTCCAGTGACCCTAAAACCGACCCCCTGCAGAACGTCACAGGAATTCTGGCCTGCAAGCAAAAAAGGCGCTTCACTATGCGTAGCAGTATTCATGCACTGCTCCAAGGCGAGTAGTTGAGTGGCATCGGGCCATGAGTCGCTGGCCCATGTGAGTGCATCCCCTAGCAAGTCTGCTCCAATGTCACCAGACTGCTCCCAATCCACCAGGTGTGACTCAGCAGCAGCAGCAGCAAGAGCAGCAGCAGCAGCAGCAGCAGCGTCACCACAAGGGCTCATTTTCTGAAAGAAATCCGCGTCGTCCGGCTTTTCAGACGTCCCGAAACTCTGCTGAGGGCAAATTGTGGGTTCAGGGAAGTCTGACGCAAGGTGAGCGGCTGGCATTGGAAAGTCTGTGTTTTCTGACCCTGATAGCTCCTCCTCCTCCTCCTCCTCCTGCTGCTGCTGCTGCTGCTGCTGTGGCGTGCCGTCAGCTGGAACAGATTCAGATTCTTCTCCCCCCACGAGCCCTCCTTCCGCCAGTGCTGACTGCACCAGCAGCGCCAGCGCTGCAAGAAGCTCAGCCGTCAAGGGGCGCGTGTGGGCCTGCAAGAGAGCACCATCGGCCGCATGACTTCCTGAGGGAGACACGGCAGCAGGCAGCGGCACAGGAACAGGCTCTTCAGGGAAAGCAGCAGCAGGAGCAGGAGCAGGAGTAGGAGCAGGAGCAGGAGCAGGAGCAGGAGCAGGAGCAGGAGCAGCAGCAGGAGCAGGAGCAGGAGCAGGAGCAGGAGCAGCAGCAGCAGCAGGAGCAGGAGCAGCAGCAGGAGCAGGAGCAGGAGCAGGAGCAGGAGCAGGAGCAGGAGCAGGAGCAGGAGCAGGAGCAGGAGCAGGAGCAGGAGCAGGAGCAGGAGCAGGAGCAGCAGCAGCAGCAGGAACATGAGCAGCAGCAGGAACATGAGCAAGAGCGGCTGGGAGCGCAGGCGCCGCACTCAGCAGTGCCACCAGCTCAGCCCGCCAGTCTTCAACGGGCGAGGCGGGAGCATGCCGGGGCGAGGATGCATTGGAGGCAGGGCGGGAGGGTGTGGAGACGCCGGACGGAGCCCCCCATGTGCCGCAACTGACCGGGCTGGACGCAAGGACTGGCAGGCACAACGGAGAGGCGGCAGGGGAAGCCTCGTTTGTCGCCGTTGCTTCCTCCTTGACAGCCGCCCGCTTGCTCGCCGGGCTGCTGTTGACACCATCCGCAGCAGCAGCAGCAGCAGCAGCAACAAAACTCTTCGCTTGTGCTGAGCGATCTTTGACTGAGCGGTCCTTCGGCAGGGGAGCAGGAGTGTTAGTATCGGTACCAGCGGCGTGGTAGTGAGGCGGGTGGTTGTGCGTGCAGTGGTAGTTGAGCATCAGTGGCGCGGAGGGGTCCCAGCAGCTGAGGTCGACCGTGCGGCGTGCAGGGCAGGCGTGGGACGAGCGCAGGCCGCACTGGAAGTAGAGCCTGGAGGCATGGACGGGTGGGAGGTGAGGGAGAAAACAGGGCAGGAAGAGCAGGAAAGGGCGTGGTGAGTTTCCCATAATCTATTGGCGACTGAGTGATCAAGGGACATGTAGCGACTAGAGGGACGAGTGGAAGGGAATCAGCAAAGCAGGAACAGCAGCAGATAGCAGCATCATGAGCCTTCCCGAAGTCAACAGTTGATCTGAGAGAGAAAGTCTGGCACAGGCGGCGGTTCCAAACTCAGGCATTGACAAAAAGGGGTCACATTCCGACTATCCATCCATGATTTCTCAGATCGGATCAGATCCGCACCTGATCATGTTGTCGCCCGTGGTGAGTTTCTTCTGCCCGTACTTAACCCAGCTGAACCCGTCGCGCGGCAGCAGCGGCTTGTACGGGTACTGAACCACACGCAATTTCTTGCCGTCACGCTGCTTCCCTCTGCCGCCGCCGTCGCCACTCCCAGGCCGATTCTCAGGTGTCTCGTGCCAATTCTCAGGTGTCTCAAGCCGACTTTCAGGTGTCTCAGGCCTTTCCTCAGGTCTCCTGGAACTCAGACGCTGACTCTCCTGAAATTCCGAGCCGTCTCTTCTCTGGTGAAGCTGAGAGCTGGGCCATGGGGTGTCCATAATGCTCTGGTGCGGCCGCTCGTGATTTCCGCTTGTCTGAAGGCTCCCAGAAGCGGCATCATGCTGATCGTGATCGTGATATTGATCATCTTGCAAGCTCGGGTCGCTCTTGAAGCTCGGGATTCGCAGAATCTGCGGCTCGATGCAAGATGATCTGCACGTGTCGTCGTGGGACAAGGAATGTGGGGAAATGGAGAGGTGATGAGATGTGCGGACAAGATTTGCGTCACAAGAATTGCACGACGCCCGTTCTACACGCCTCTTGCACGACGCCTGTTCTACTCGGAGTAGAGTCATGTTACGAGCCCAGTAAGGTGGAAATACTGTACATCTAGGGCTACAGGCCGGGTGGTAACCCTACAAATCAGTCGCTTCTGCTAATCCCCTCCTCCCACACCCCGTCCCCCTCTCTCTCCCCATTCGAGGGACCAGGATAATGCGATTACCTTTGGGGAAAGGCCATCCTGGCGTGTCCTGCGCCGCGTTTCGCGGCGCCTGAAGATTCCTCGTGTCGCAGCTCATCCTGATCCCGCGATCGCTTGCGCGCCGCGCGGAGAGCATCGTTTTGGCATTGGGCCATGCTCCTTCGTCGTGACGGAGCCAAGCCTACTGCGATGTGAAGAAAGGTCGGATTTCTGGGTAGATCATACGTCGAGCGGAAGCGGCGTCAGCGTATTTCTACATGACATTATCTCGTTGGGCAATGGGATTCATCCAGAGGAGTTCTGGAATGTCACATGTATCAGGCCGCCAAGCGAAGGCCTTGCCTGGCCCCGTCCCGGGGACGGAACACTCTACTATTGGAGGAGCGGATTTGTCCCCCCCCATCGTAAGGCGGAGGATTGATCTCCGTGTCGCCTTCGTTCACAGTACGTAAAACGACGACGATGACGCTTGCTACACAAGCAGTCACGGGATCTTATACGATTGGATCTGATGTCAATGGGTTGCTACGACGCGGCTGCGTCTCCGCGTTTGAAAGAATTCGGTTCTTCCTGAGCCTCATTACTGTACTGTACGTACTTCAGCAGCAAGCCATCTTTCAAAACTGCTGTGACGGACGGAACGAGAAGCAGAATGGTTGTGAAGGGAGAGCAAGCTGACGTGGACAGGGATACACACGTAACTCGGCTGACGCCGCCACCTGACCACTCGTTTCCACGCACTCGTATCCACAGATTCTGCAGCGAAGGTTCGCAAGCTGCTTCATTGGACAGAAGCATAGTAAATGCTGCAAAAGCTCACGTGCGTGTTATCTATGACATCTAATCATCAGGTCTCTGTTAGCTCCCAAAGGGACCAATAAGGCGGCACAGCGGTTAATGCGACGGGCAAATGCCGTTACAGTCCAAAACTAACGTTAAATGGCAGCGAGTTGCAATGTCTAGATCCGAGTGATAGGCAACGACAGGCAACGCCTTTGTCGCCATAGCTCTGGAGGAGAGCTAGCTGTGAAAGTTCGGTTGGGCTCGTTAGCTAGCAACAAGTGCGTTCAGTTTGACGACAACCATCTGGTCCCAAGGTCATGGTCATCGCTGAATACCGTTTTGTACCGTACGTTATAGCCTTTTCTATCCTATCAAACCACTGCAAGCAGTTTCGATTCTGTACAATCTCCAAACAAGAAAATACGCAGGGCTGTCGGTACAGAACCAAACTCAGCCGTGAGGTTTACCTGTACAGTACCCACCAGGCTGCCCCCCCCCAAAGAGAACTGGAACAGGTCCACACCGCTTCAGGGTGGTTCTACCCTGTAAATATTGTGAAATAGGGTACAATATTCGACTCTACATCTGAAAACGTGTCAACAAAAACTTTTATACTGTTTTGAGAACCATACTGTTTCCACACTGCATGTCCACAAGGCCCAAGAATGGGCACCTGGCCCACAATGCATTTCTTCCATCGTATCCATTGGTCAACTGTTTTAGCTAGAAATTGATCGTATCCCAACACGAGCAGGGTAATAAGTGCCCAGCCCAACTATAGATCGCCAAACCCAAGCATGAATCTCCACATGTCAGGGGTTATGTCCACTCCACAACACCACAACAGCATGTTTGAGGATAACCATACCGTACCAGATACGGTATTAATAAAGTTGGCTTGTCAAAATGATTTCAAACCCCTCACATGGGCAAGGGGAAGGAACAAAAGCCCACTATGATGAGTGTTTCACAGGAAACAGGTGGAGGTAGTTAGTGGGGTGTGTAAACTGTAAATCTCCAAAATAATGTTACTTGCGAGGACGCGTCACCTCTCGGAACTTCTAGCCAAATTGATTTTTGGTGGTGTTAAGGGCGTATTTTTAATTTTGGATGCAAGAAGTGGGATTTCAGTGCGGTGTAGGATCTATTTTGCACGATCAATCGTGCGAAGTGGCTAGAGGTGACGCGTCCTTATACAGTCTGAACCAGGCCCGTAGGAGCCCGTTTGCTCACCCTATGGTTGTGCACATCTGAACCCGATCATGTGCAAGTCCATACTGGATTTTCCTGGTACGGTACCATATTAATACCCAATAACAATGGGCAATACAATGAAGAAAATGGTATTCGACAACTGTGTTGAGAGGCCCAATAGGACTTTCTGACACCTCATCTTGTAACGGTACAGAGCAGGTTTCACCGACGTTACACGCTAAAGAAATGCAGCTAAACTGTTACATGCCGCTAGGGGAGCGTGGGCGCATGGCTACTTGTATAGCTCCAGAACTATCCTCACAGATCACCATATGATGCTCCTCATCTAACCCTGTAGGGAGTGTAGCCCAGGTGAAACCAGCGTCACCAGCACCAGTGCAACCTGCATCACCGGTATTACCCAATGCAGCACCAGAACTGTCAACCGCCGCCACCGCCGCCGCTGCCGTAGCAGCAGCATCATCTCGCTTCCCAGCAGACCTAGCTCCAAAACCATACTCAGCAAAACCATCTGCTGCAGCAGCAGCGTCAGAAGCGGAAGCAGAAGCGGCCGAGACAGCAGCAAATAGATCCAAGCCCACCTCTAGCTGCTGGTCTGGTGAGAGAACTAGGTGTTGGGAGGAGGCCTGCTGTGGGGTGTTACCAGGGGAGGTTGTATTTGCACTCGGGGCGGATTCGGGGGCGGTTCTGCTTGTCGGAAAGGCGGCAAGTTGGCCAGAAACTATTCCCTGTGTCGCCCCCGCGAAGATATTATTCGGGGCCTCGTCAGCAACCAGCACCACAGCTGCTGACGCGGACTGGCTCTTGCTGATGTGGCGGGTCGGCGAGCCAATCACAGGGCTCGACGACACATCTCCTGATTGCTTTGGAAAAACCCCGCTGTCTCGCCCTGGCGACGCACCACCAACCACAAAGACGTCACTGTGCGACTGATTATTCCGCGCTTGACTAATCAGCTGCGCCTGCGCTAGCAGAATCTCCTGGGCTAGCAGCGAGCCCTCATGGGGGGCTGTGGAGTCATGCGGATCTCGCTGTGTGCCCTGCGGGTGTGAGTCACGCTGGTCGCTCTGCAGATTTGAGTGTTGCAGGTTCAGGTGTTGCGAGTTGAAATCGAGGTCTGCGACAAGTTGCATATCATCTAGCGTGAATGAGTCTAGGGTACTCCACGGGAGCTCCACCCCTGCTTCCTGCCCGTTCTCCCCCTCCCCCTGCTCCTGCTGCTTCACTGCTAGTTCCTCCAGCTGCTCTTGCATTAGGCCCCAGTCGTCAGGAATTAGTGACTGCCATGGTTGTAGCTCATGCCGTTGCTCTTCAGCTTCCTCTGCTCCCACTCCCTCCTCCTCCCCTTCCTTCTCTAGGGGATCCCCACACCCTTCCTGCTCTGATCTCTGCTCCTGCTTTAGCTGCTGCTGGGCCTGTGCTATTAACTCCTGTATACTAACCTCTCCCCCTTGCTGCTGCTGCTGCTGCTGCCGCTGCTGCTCCCCTTGCTGCTGTATCTGTTGCTGCTGCTGCTGCTGCTGCTGCTGCTGCTGCTGCTGCTGCTGCTGCTGCTGCTGCTGCTGCTGCTGCTGCTGCTGCTGCTGCTGCCGCTGCCGCTGCTGCTGCTGCCACTGCTGCGTCAGATCTTCACTCAAAAACGCCTGTGCCAATGCATCATACCCCATACCCTCCATACTCTGCCCACCGCCCGCACTACTCGCAGCAGCAGCAGACGAGGCGAAGCGGGGGGAGAAGAGCGCAGGGCTGGCGGAGGCAGAGGCGGAGGAGTGGCTGTGCGCGGATCGAGGGGAGATGGGGGGAGGGGACGACGTGACATGCGACGTGTGCGAGGAGGACGTGAGGTTCCGCGTGAATAAGGTGTTGAGTGCGGTTCCAAGCTTGTGAGCCATGGTCTCGTCCTTCCCGAACCCCCCCCCTCCCTGCGCCTGTGGGTTATACAGCTGCTGCGCCAATCCGGGGTGATTTGGAGTGGCGAATCCCGAGTGCGGGGGGGAGATGAAGCCTGAAGGCGGAGGGGAGACGAGCCCGCCGGAGGGGCGCGGGGAAGCAGCGCGGGTGCTGCTCGGTGAGGTGCGGTTGGGGGAGAGAGACGCCATTTGCAGCATCGCTATTGCTTCTGCTAGAGAGGGGGGCGGGGGCGCGGAGTGCATGAGCGGGGGGGAGGGGCTCGACGCGCCCTCTGTGACGCTCCGGGGGAGGGTTGGGCGGGATATGGGGAAGTCATGCGCGGATGCGGGGGGGGAGGGGAAGGCGGTGGGGGAGAGGGGGAAGTCTTGGGAGGAGGCACGGGGGGAGGCGAAGGAGGGGGAGTGGGAGGTGGTAGCTTGGCAGTGGAGGTTCGAGAGGGCAGCGAGGGTGGCCGCATGGGAGGAGAAGATGGATAGATTGGCGTTCGCCGCGGTGGGGGAACCCGGGAGGGGAGAGAGGTAAGGGGACTTCGGGGAAGGGATGGGGGAGAGCGCGTGCGGGGGCGTGAAGTGGGGGGATGAGTACGGGGTGAGCACAGGAGAAAGGGAGGTGGGGGAGGAGGAGAAGAGGGGGGAGGAGCAGACGGGTTGATCGGAGGGGGTCCAACGGGGGAGCACGGAGGAAGGGGGAGTTTCGTATTGAAACGAGTGCAATAGTTCTTCCTGCATCGAGAAATCGAAGCTTCCTGACGCCTTCGCCAGGGACCCCCTCTGCGGTGCTGCTCCGCCGCCCTCCCGGCCTCCGCTCCCACCTCCTCCTCCGCCCCCACTCCCCCCTTCTCCGCCTTCGCCCCCTGCTCCCCCTGACCCCGCCATCCCCTCCGCGCCCGCAAAGATCCCGCTGATCCCGCCCATGCTGCCGCCGGCGAGCGCATCCTGCGCTTGCGCGGAGAGCGCCGACAGCTGCCCCGCGAAGGCCATCAGCGAGTCGGCGCCAGGCGCGGAACGCGGGTCCGCCATTAGCGAAGTTGGCGGAAGGTTGCCGCCAGCGCTTAGACCGAACCCTGCTGCTGCGGCCGCCGCCGCCGCCGTCATTGCTCCTCCCGCCTGTGCTCCTGCCGCCCGCCGCTGCCACAGGGACGGTTGAGCCGCGCTATTGCTGCCGCCGGCAATAGCGCCGCCCCCTCGACTGCCGCCGCCGCCAGCAATGCTAGGTAACTGTTGCCCCATCTCCTGCCGCCCCAGGCTCTGCAGTAGCTTGCTGACCTGGAGCGCGCTGACGTGGCCGCTGCTGTTGCTGCCGGCCCTCTGCTGATGAACCCGACTTGCAGCCGCCTTGCGAATCGCATCATCTAGGGTTTGTCGTATCGCGGCATAATCATTACCGTCGCCAGCCGTTAGCATGCGCAGCGCGTCTAAACCGCCGTCATTCCCGCCCGCGCCTATTATGCCGTTTTTCAGCAACGCATCTGCATCACCACTATCCATATTCACCCCACCTATCGCCGCGCCGCGAATGTGCCCGTCGCTAATGCTACAGCCGAGGGTAAACTGCCGCCCAGACGACACAGGCTGTAGCAATATCTCGGCGCTGCTACTGGCGCGCTGCTGATGTGGAGGAGGGGTGCTGCCGGCGGCGCTGCGGAGGTGCGGGCGGTGGTTGTGGTCGTTGATGTACTCGATTTTGAGCGGAGCCTTGCTGTCGGCCTTGCTCATATTGACGATGCGCTTAGCGGGACAGCGCGCGTCCGTGTTTCGGAGCATGCAGTGGAAATAGTGCCTGGCGAGTGGATAAAAGGAGATTATGGAAATAGCGCACGGAAAAGAGGGGAGAAAGGGAGGAGAAAGAAAGACGGGGGTTCGGGGAGAAGGAAGGGCAGGGCAAGGTGGATGATGAAGCGAATTTGCAATGGGAGGTTTCAGCATTGCGATATGAGAATCCATCGCATCGTTTTTGGCGGTTCAAATAATCTCGACAAGAAATCGCACTTCGTTTAGCACTTCACCTCATACAGCCCTTGCTGGCGTACCTTATGCGGAGCCCCCCGGACCAGACAGCTAGAGTACCTCATGTGTAGCCCACCGAGCCCACTGGACAGCTGTCTCACCTCATGTGTAGCCCGCCGGATAGCTGCTTTTGGCCGTATTTGACCCAGTTGTAACCGTCGCGCGGCAGCAGGTGCTTGTATGGGAACGGCTGCTTCCGTCGCGGCCGTCTGTAGCAGACAGGAAAAAGGCATTGGGGAGACGAGGTGAGAGAGGCGAGGAGGAGAGCAGACAAGGCAAGGGGCACGAGTTCGCAGGTGACACGAGAGAAGCGTATGGGCGCGAAGGCATTGCCAGACATTTGTATTGCAAAATAATCCATCCGAGTGAGAATTTACAGCATCAATACGCATTAGAAATATGAAAGACGAATGCCCGATGCGGGTGAAATATTCAGGGAAAAACCGTGCCTTCCTGAATGAAAATGCGAGAATTCCGGGCCGGATTCGTCAGAATGAAGAACTCGAACTAGAATCGGAGAACCAACGTCGTTATTGCATTAAAAGGATAGGATAACCTTATCCTTCCGTGTGTAGAAGATCACCGGGACCACTGGATAGGACTTACTTCGCAACGGTCCCGTCTTTTTCTTTCGACGTTCCTCCTCCGTTTTCGTTCGTCGGGTTCGTCGTGGCGGCCTGTCGAAGAGCGGGAAATTCTTCTGGCTCGTCGTCTTCACCCGTCGCGTCGCGATCTAAGCCGCTCTGATCCATGGCTTCCAGCCCCGAAGCGTCAGTCGCTTCTGCTGCGTCGGAATGTCGGCGAACTTCTGCGCAGTTTGCGGTCGATCCGGGGGACCGCATAGCTGAGGTCTATCTTTCTAGTATCCACAGGGAGAACTCTTTACTGAATAAGTTCCAGTAGTACACGGATTTGTCCTAAGGACTGAACTAGCAAAATACAAATGTACGTCACGCACGGGGAGAAGGAAGTTCGTGCAGGGACAGGAGCAAGAGTTGTTCGAAATGAAATGGACAAGTCACAAGGGACCTTGAGCTTGGGCTCTCACTCACACACCTCGACAATTGCTTTGAAGTTTTCCCACCACAAATTGAGGTTCTGGCTCGGTGACTGGTTCGGACGTCTCTTGGAATTTCCCACAACAAATTGGGATGGTCCCCCAGCTGCTGCGGGAACATACCAATTTGCTGCCCCCCAACTTCGAGAAGCATGGTCTGATCAATTCCCTGAGCAGCCTTGTTCCTTGACACAACTGAAAATCAAATTGAATTCCATGCTCTGTGTTTGCTTTGGGATTCCAAAGCGTGCCAGTTGCTTGACACATGCTGCAGCGCTGCCCTGACTACACTGCATTGGTCCCAGCTTTGGGCGGCTTTGGCCTCACGTCATCATGCGGGACGCGGTTTTGGATTTGGTTTACTTGGGACCAAACCTCCTTGGTGCAGAACAGGATTTATAAACTACGCGGATTCATTGTTCATTACTGAAAACACTTAGGGTTCATTGTTAATCTGAAACGCTAGCCACTTGCTGAACACCGTCGAGAGTCTTTAAAAACTGCAACAGAACGTGCAATATACACCTGCTTATGTACGTTCTTGTAGTACTGTAATCGCACTCTTGAGGGTGGCCTTCAAACAAACTACACCTTCCTTGACCTGACCTGGGTTGTCGTGGCAAGGTTTTATCGATGTGATATATCAAAGGTTTTTTCGACGTGAAAAATCATAACCGATGATATTGGCCCCAACAACAGACCCTAGCTCACATGTGTAGGTAGACCGCTAGAATCCCCATTGTGCAACTGTACACTCGACACAGTTGGCTAGACTTACACTACGTGTGTATACCTATCTACCTACACGCCATTGTGTCAAAGTACTGGTTCTGGCAACAAATAGTGCTACACTTTTGTAAAGACCAGTTCAGTCACAATCACGAACGTTTAAGCACGCTGGATGCCTAAACACTTCTTAAGTATCCGATAACATTTTTGTACGGTGTACTGAGGTGTACCACAAATAAGCCTGCTGGCCCGGAAAGTATTATTAAATGGCCTGGGATCGTGGAATGATGTGGATGGAAGCTACTCAGAAGGTAAACTCAGAAGGTCAGGCAAAAACGGACAAACAAACTCAAAGCCAATATCCGCGAAGAGGGGGACGGTGAGGAGATCACGGGATTCGTCTGTTGGTTGTGGATGACAATAGGTTGGCCCATGAAATACTACACAACACACCATCTTTCGCGCTATAGTGGTATCAGTTATGACAACTTGGGTTGAATGACAAGGTTTCGGGTTTTATTGTGATAACATGTATTAGCAAAAAACATTTACAAGCACCTCTAACAATCGTAGTTGTTTAGGAGGCGAATACTGTTCTCGCCTACGGTGGCTCGAAAATATATTTAAACAAAAAAAAAAAAAAAAAAAAACCATACGGTATAGACTCTCTTCGGACCAGCCCATCAGCTGAGCCAGGTACGGTACATACCGTGATCTCCCGGTTACAAGACCCCCCCGCATAAAAGCCCCGTGGGTCTTCTATCCGGCCCAGGGGTCTTTTATTAGGTCAATCCTGGAGAGGACCCGCCTTTTGACCCAAATCATTATAAGACCCCCCCTCAGGCTATAATGAGTGGTGTTAGTTCATGAGCTGGTTAGAGAGTCACACAAAAAAACCACCAAATTTACTTAGTCAGGCGAATTTGTGGTCAAGGGAGTCAAGATGCCACATCAATCACGCGTTTTTGCCGCCCTTCAGGCAACAAATGCTGACGTGCCTGTCATTATTAGGCATTTCTGAACGTGCGGAAAGAAATCAGGGAGACTCGAGTGCGAGAATCTGAGAAAGAATTTCTGCGCTGTGAAGGAATCCAAAATTCAGTACAGAAATTTTTGAGTTTCTTCAACATTGCACTACACAATCCATTTTCCATTAATTAATAGATGTCCAGGGGTCTTATGCACTTCATGTCATTACATAAGACCCCACAACCCAGTTCGAGCACATTTAGGATAAGACCCCCGGGTCTTCAAGGCGGGAGATCACGGTATACCGGTATCTCAACAAATAACCAAATCCACCAATAAAGCTAGTTGCTCATAAGCAAAAAACAATAACCCCATGGAGAAATGCATAAAAACCATAGGAACTGTTAGAATTTGAGATGATTGAATAGGATCGTAATACTTAGGATGGTAGCTTCCTGTCGTAGAGGAAGTCTTGTATGAGTTAAAGCCAGTTATGGAGGCTTTGTTGTCAGAATGTTATGTTTTGTCTAGCCTGCAGTGGGGTACTCAATAGTGAGTACAGCCCAATTTAGGGTTTGCTATATGTACTCAACTGCTTGCTAGTGAAACCCCATCTTTCTCATTTCTAACTTCCTGCTGTTTCTTAACATGGAATCAGAGCAGGTCGACCCCCTCGGGTCGATCCTGTGTATGGGCCCACCCAACACTTCCGCTGCTGCTACTCTGTCTATCGCGCGCCTCGGGCGCGCGCTGCCTTCTTGCCTGCCGCGCGCCCATGGCGCGCGGCCATTTTTCTTCCCGCCGCGCGCTCGAGGCGCGCGGCGGTTTTCTGACCGTCGCGCCGCCCTGGGGGCCGCGCGACGCCCTTATCTGCCCGTCGTGCGCCCCGTGGCGCGCGGCGGTGCCCTGCCCGTCGCGCGCCCCGGGGCGCACGGCGGTTTCGTCGCCCGGGAGGCTCGTGCGCGGCCCCCCCTCGTCGCCCGTCGCGGCGCCTACGGGGGCCCCGCGCGCCCCCCCCCCCCCCGGGCGCCGCGACGGGCGACGGGAGGGGCGACTGAAGGGGGGGGCCGCGCGTCGGTCCCTCCCGTCGTCGTCCCGGCCCTGCCCCGTCCCGGACCTGCCCCGGCCGCGACCCTGTCCCGGCCCTGCCCCGGCCCCGTCGCGGCCCCGTCCCGGACCTGCCCCGGCCCCGACCCTGTCCCGGCCCTGCCCCGGCCCCGTAGCGGCCCCGTCCCGGACCTGCCCCGACCCTGCCCCCCGCCTTTTCCCGTCGCCCGTCGCGGCCCCCGGGGGGGGGGGGGGGGCGCGGGGGGGGGGGGGGGGGGGGGGCGCGCTTCGCCCCTCCCGTCTTCGTCGCGGCCCTGCCCAACTGCCGCCCCTGCTGCTGCCCTGCCCTGTGTTGGGGTTTGGGGGTGGCGAGTGTGGGGGTGACGAATGTGAGTGGTCTCCCCTACTCCTCCTCCTCCTCCGTCTCCCACTGCTGCAGCTGCCGCTGAGGGGGGTGGGTGTGTGGGAGCCTATGGAGTGGTGCTAGGGGGTGGAGTATGAGTAGTGCTAGAGGTGCAGCAGGGGGTGTGTGAAAGGGGGGTGAGACAGTTAGAGGATGTTGGGCGGAGGCAGCTGTCGTGTCGCCAGCAGCGCCAGTAGTCCGGAGGCTACAATCTCCGGTAGCCCAGCGAGCCTGCTGCGCCAGTCGCCCGTGGATCCGTTGCTCCTGCAGCTCAGAGTTAGTCGCGGAGCCAGTTACTCCAGTAGTCCGGAGGCTACAATCTCCGGTAGCCACAGTGCGCGCCGCTCCTGTTGCCCGTGTGTCTGCAGCTTCACCTGTCTCCTATCTCTTCTCCTCTCACAGTCCCTCCTCCTCCTCACTTACCATCTGTGACTGCCTCTAGCTTTGCTTATATTTGTGAACTATAAACTGCTACTTCTTGTACTTGTGCTCAGAATGTGTGGTGACTTTGTGATCCACCTTGAGCTTGTTTTGCTTTGCTTGTTGTGCTGATTACACCCCACTTTGGCTATGGGGGTGTGTCAGAATGTTATGTTTTGTCTAGCCTGCAGTGGGGTACTCAATAGTGAGTACAACCCAATTTAGGGTTTGCTATATGTACTCAACTGCTTGCTAGTGAAACCCCCTCTTTCTCATTTCCAACTTCCTGCTGTTTCTTAACATTTGTCTGGACTTAATAAAAGCCCATGTAGTGATATGTTTCAGGATCAATGTCTCTGAAATCAGATATATTTAAAAATGACAAACATACAAAATATATAGCTAGAGTAAAGTACCTATTCGCCTACTGTACTGTGCTATTCATGTTCTGAAACGGTACGTGACTTTTCGCGAGGCCTATAGCTACGTGCTGACGTCATCCTAGGGCGCGTAGCGCTTTGCTGACGTCAACCTATCGGTACTTTACTGTTACGTGCGAAGTCTCGCACTATACTACACGAATCCTTGAAGTGCTTAAGCCTTCATATTATCTCAACACTCCCCTTCACTTCTAGGAGTTCGGTGTAGTTACCCGGTTGTCTCAGAAACGCCGCTGAGCTGGTTGCAGTGGTGAAACTTCTGTCGTGTCAGTTTC